TGAAGAAGAAACATGATCTTACAGTTTCGGTCCTTAACAGCAGTAGACTGGAAAATCTAACGTGCAACTATTCCTTTATTTAAATGTACTCTGACGTTTTGTCCCACCTCTCATGTTTTACTCCACAGTAAGAGAACCAGGTGGAAACATCAGGCTGTATTGCAAAGGGGCTGATACAGTCATTTATGAACGGTTGCACCCAAGGAATCTAAAGAGAGAGGCTACAGAAGAAGCACTAGATGTACGTTTGCATTTTATATGCTGTTTGTGAATTTAAAATTGTTCATTTCTGACTATAATCTAATTGTATTCATTTCCTTTTCCTAAGCTATTAAAACAAATGCAGACCTATGATTAGTTCTGCAAGTCATCCCAAACCTGAGAAATAATCAAAGCAATATAAACTTTGATGTATGTTCTTAGAAATGCATTCATTGTCTTTTCATGAGAAGTGAACTTCAATTTTGTCTCCATGCTTTTTTAAATTGTTATCATTATTCCAGATCGCTGCACTCTGTTCTATTTGTCACCTTTTCAGTCTTTCAGTTCAGGCTGCCTCGTCAGCTCTAATTTAGGCATTACGTTTGGATTGCAAATGAAGAGTGTGGTTTTGGGGATATATTTTGGTTTGTTTCGTTTTTTAAAATTCTTTTCCAGATTTTCGCAAATGAAACTCTTAGGACGCTCTGCCTGTGCTATAGAGACATTAGCCAGGATGAATTTGAAGCATGGAATAAAAAGTTTGTGGAGGCCAGTGTAGCTACAACTAATCGTGATGAAGCTCTGGACAAAGTGTATGAGGAAATAGAAAAAAACTTGATTGTAAGTCAACTTTTAAATTTTTAGTGTACTTATCTTCTTATATAAGAAGAAATATTTTTGAAAAGAAATTATCCTTGTTTATTAGGACATTTTGATTTAGATCTTTTCAGTATTTTATTGGCTTTAGAGCCACTCCAAATTTCAGAGTTTAACAGAATGAAGGGAAATGTATTTTAGTACATGTGTTTCAGTGCGGTCGCTTCTATACGCAAGTTTCTTTCCTGAATTCTTGGCTTGAGCTGTACCTTGGCTTGAAGACACATCCAGAACAGTTTCATTCTCTACTGAAATGAATCAATTTTCTATACATTCCTACCAAATACCTGCGTTTCACTTATCTTCCAGCTGCTTGGGGCGACAGCTATTGAAGACAAACTACAGGATGGAGTGCCAGAAACTATTTCCCGACTTTCAAAAGCAGACATTAAAATCTGGGTGCTTACTGGTGACAAAAAAGGTGGGTGTACTTACAGCCAAAGAGCTGGTAGAAACAGTGAACATGAACTGGGGCAAATGCAGACTGGAAATAAAGCATATGTTTCTAGAACAGCTCAGTATGAGACTCCTTTTAAACTGGAGAAATTTCTGCAACAGGCAGGATTTCTTACCAGCTGTTCCCAGTCCAGAGTTACTGAATGGGCTTCTGTGTAACTTCTGTTATTCCAGCAGCTGAGCCTAGATGACTGATTGTGTCACTGTCCTCTGTTTGTAGGGAAATACCTAGCTACTGCTTTTCTACATGCAAAGCAAACGCAGGGCAGCTTGCTTTTAACACCAGGCTTGCTTGGCTTTGAGGGCAGGTACCAAAACTTGTCTTTTTACAGTGAAAATTTACTTTTCAAAGAAATTGTAAGTGCTGCTGGCAGAGACTGATTGGCTTTTTTTTTTTTTTTTTTTTTTGTAGTTGCTAGTCTGCAGTCTGGCAACACGTTTTGTTAAGTTGGATCAAAAAATGGCATTAAATTAGTAAGAATGGCTCTGCTAAAGCCTGGATCAAGGTGCAGCCAGACTAGCTTCTGTCTGATGCTGGCAACAGCCTTGCTTCAAGGAATCCAGAGTAAGCACAGGGAAAGATAGTGTGGCATACCCTGTGGCTGACTCCTGCAGTGCCTTTGGCTCTCTGACACGGAGACACCGTCTCCACCATCAAGTTAAATAGGTCCTGGTGGATCTTTCTTCCACAAACTGGCTGATAGACTTTTCCAGGTCAAGAACAGTTGTTTGCATTCAGTATGTTTCACAGGAAATGTTGCATAGGAAATAAAATTCCCTGTTGTTGACTTGAAATCCGTCACCAGTGTGCCTTCATTGCCACGCAGTTGTTGTACGACAAATAATTAACAAGCATTCCCCTAGCTTCTCTGTGCTATGTATGATTTTTTTTTTCCTGTTCATCCACGCTGTGGTAATGAAAGGGAACTTCTCATAGTGAAAGATAACTTCAAAAATTACTTAAGAAGACTTCAGGTACTTCTGGCTGCTCCTGGCTGTTACCCATGACAGAACTTCGAGTAAATATTTTCCTCTCATTTTTTTTATTGTAGAAACTGCTGAAAACATTGGATTCTCCTGTGAACTCTTAACAGATGAAACAACAATCTGCTATGGAGAAGATATCAGGCAAGTGAAAAGCACAAAAGATTTCTTTTGTGGGAATGAAAAACGTTCCCTTTTTAAAATTGACCCAACAGTAACATTGGTTTGTCTCCCAGTGACTCTTCAACGACTGAACAGTATTTTTTGGCAGTTGTGCAGCTGTATGTTGTCGGTTTCTTTGCTTTGTCCAAAATTGTAATTTTACAAGACAACCTCTTAATTGTGGGTAAAGGTGGCGATACCCTCTTTGCAGGAGGTTATACGTTCTCGGTCAACAACTGTTGACATTAAGTTTGTCCCATAGTGCAGACAAGTCTGGAGCCCACCTGGAGTGGGCTAAGCAGGTCTCTCCTCAGTCCAAATCTTGGACTTGCCAAGTTTTGTTCTTGCTGCTTGTCCCTGAACTCCAGCACTACCCTAGCCGATCTTTCACCCTGTCCTGTGCTCCTCTACGCAGTACAGACCTGTGCTCTAAAACCACAATGGGTCATAAGGCATTCAGAGCTTAGTCATAAAGGATTTGTCAGAATGGTTAGACACAAGGGGAAGCAGCATCTTCTCTCAGACTGGGAGAAGAACTAGGGCTTCGTAACAAAGTCACAGTTATTCCTGACTCGTTTTTCCTTATTTGCAAAACAGCAAGCGTATCAAACCGGTGTGATCCGCTTTGCACCGTTGCTCTAGCACTGCTTAGAACATCACCTAATATAGGGCAAAAAAAGTCCACGCAGCATCTGTTGCGTTTCTTTCTTGCAGATTTCCACTCTGGGAGAGATCTAGCTTAAAGTTTATCCTTGATTTTTTCTGTAATAGTATCCATCTCTCTTTCCAGTGCTCTTCTCCAAACTAGGTTGGAAAACCAGAGGAACAGAGCTGGATCCAGTACGCATTCCTACCTAAGAATGAACGAGCCCTTCTTCCAGGGTAGTAGAGATCGTGCTTTAATAATCACTGGCTCCTGGCTGGTATGTACAAAAGCTGTTCTGCTGTGCATTTGAGATTTTGGGGGTGCCACCAAGTCCCAGTGTCCTTCACTGAGGACTCAGTTCGTTTGTCTGCTTTGCTAAACCAGTCAATGAAAATTCTTTGGTGACTGCTATCAGTTGAACGCATCTGTTTGATATTTATGTTCAGAAGTATTTTTGGTTTTGAAGGTTGAAAATAGTGCTCAATGAAATAAGGAATGGCTTGGGCCTTTCAAATCACCCTGGTAGCTGCTGTCAAAGTAAAGCTAATCCCTTGCAAAAGCACGGTCTGGTTTTCAGAGTGTTTATTCTTCATGGGGATTCTGGTCTAATGGAAAAAAGTGAGAGATGACTGCCAGCACTATGGGATGCACGGCTTGAGTGTGGGCACAGAAATCATGCTTGAAATGAGAGATGAGAGTGAAATGGTAGAAACAAAAGACAAGTTTCCTGCTCAGTCCTGCAATACAGCGCTCTCACGGGACCTTAGAAAGCAGAAAAGAGCTTTTAGCAGAGATGGGACTAGCAGTAACTCGGTGACTGTTACCCACCCTGTTCGCAGGCCCCTCTCATAGACACCTGTAAAGGAGAAAGTCCAAGGAACAGCTCAGGACCATCTGCCATGGTTCAGTATTCCAGCCCTAAACCTTTATTTTGTGTCAAGAAGTGTACATCTGTGTGCACGGCATGGGAAGCAGGCTGGGGATGCCTAAAGGCAACCGAGCAGGAGCTCAGCTACTCTAGCTGAACTGCCCCAGAGCTAACCTGGTATTCACAGGGCACTTCCCCAGGTGCTGGGCATAGCCCTGCTTCCCTTAGGAAATGGGGAAATAGGAGAGAGGGAAGTTTAAATACCAGAATGTTTTCAGAAGTGAATTAGTTCTCATCCTTTGAACTCCGCAAGAAGTGCTGTGATACTAAACGCGAGCAGTTTGCTTTTGGTGGTCCTACCAAGCAATGGTAGGATTACCAAAATCCTACCAATCCCACCAATTCTTTCCATTGTTTCCGTAGCTCTTTGTTCACTCCTCTGCACGAGCATTTTGTTAAAATGCCACAAGTGGGCGATGGGAGCGCAGAGAAGTGAACTGTGTTGTATGGGCAGTACTCGGAGCGCGACTTGAAACGGCGTAAGGCGGAACATGACATCTTTTTGTAACACAGAATGAAATCCTGCTGGAGAAGAAAAAGAAGAAAAAGAAACTTAAACTGAAATTCCCCAGAACAGCAGAAGAGGAAAAAAGGCAAACTGAAAAGAGAAGAAGGGCCGACGCTTACAAAGAGCAGCAGCAGCAGAACTTTGTTGATTTGGCCTGCGAATGCAGGGCTGTGATCTGCTGTCGAGTGACTCCGAAGCAGAAGGCCATGGTGGTCGAGCTGGTGAAGAAGTACAAGAAAGCTATCACTCTGGCTATTGGCGACGGTGCCAACGATGTAAACATGATTAAAAGTAAGGCAGCTGGGAAGCTTCTCTTGGTAGGAAAGATCTCTTCTGGGCCTTCTTCTGCAGTCTCTTCGCTGTCGCTCTTTGTTCAGAAGACTCGACCCACGTTAACGTTCCCTGGGGTTTGTTAGCTCCCGTGCCTGTGCTTTCCCTTTTTGAGGAGGCCCTTTAGGAAATGGTTAGTGGGTTTTGCTGATATATTTTAGCTTTTTCTGGAGATGTTCCCTGGGAAGGAACTTGAATTAACATCTGTTATCGTGTTGTGGGTCATGGAAGTGTAATAGAGAGAACAAAGCAATATCTTAGCTGCCCCGTGCTTGGAGGGATTAGCCATGCTATATTGCAACTGGTGCTCTTTGAACCGCTTCCTGAGAAAGAAGCTCCTGGGATATGGTTTATATCAGGAGCGTATTTGTAAACTGCCTGGCCAGTTTGCTCAGCGGTTCGCTTGCTCTGTCTCACCGCGTAGTTCTCCCCTGGGCAAATCTCCCAGTGTCCCTTCTGACGGAACAAGCGCTGAGAGAGAATCCAAGCTATGGTGGAGACATGAGCAGTGAGTCACAGGGCAAGGAAGGGCTTCTGCACTGCTGTGCTCGTCTGCAGCGCAGCCTCTGCGCGGTGCGTGGGAACAAAACGGGGCAGAGAACCTGGAGCAGAGAATAGGAACCGGTAGAAGATTCGCCCTCGGTCATGTTGTTCCTCTGCCTCTGTCCAATGGAGTGTGTGGTGTTTGTTTCCTTAACTTAGCTGCCCACATTGGAGTTGGAATCAGCGGCCAAGAAGGGATGCAAGCCGTCATGTCAAGTGACTACTCTTTCGGGCAGTTCCGCTACCTCCAAAGACTGCTGCTGGTCCACGGACGATGGTCTTACATTAGGATGTGCAAGTTTCTAAGATATTTTTTCTACAAAAACTTTGCTTTTACACTAGTCCACATCTGGTATTCATTCTTTAATGGCTTTTCTGCTCAGGTAAGAAGGCACGCTCATGTGTAATACTAACAAGCAGATCTTCCTTTCTCTCAGTTCAGAGGAGCAAAGGCTTAACCTGGGAAGTGATGGATGAAGTTGTCATCAATAATTCCTGCAGGAGAATAGGTGATAACTACTAAACTAGTTAGTTACAAGCTAAGCACTTGGTTATGATTTCAGGACACTGAAGTCAGTATCATGATTGTACAGCGAGGAAGGGAGGAAGAGATTGTTGTGTAGTGGTTTGGGAAACCTTTCCCAACCTTGCTACGTAAGATATTTGTAGGTGAAGTGAGATGGCTCGTGTATGTATCAGTAGGAAACCAAACCCAATATTTTTTTGTCTTGAACTGCTGGCTAGAATGACTTGAAATGTGCTTGTTGTAACTGGCAGTGTTTGAACTTCACATAGTGTTGAAAGGACTTGATGAAGAGTTGAGATGCATCTCTGGGGGTATAACCAAAAGACAGGCAAGAAGTAGTTAATGACATTGCACGGACCAGCGTGGAGGGTCAGGGCCCCAGTCACAGACAAGCAGCCCTACCTGAGGTGGATGCTGTTTGCTTGAGGGAAACTGGATGCCTAGGACTGAGCAGAAAAAGAACATAAAAAGAAAGCAGGGCTCCCAGAGTTGTACGGGAGATGCCCAGCGCTCATCACAGTCACAAGCGCAGCTATGAGCCAGACTGACTGGGTGAGGGGTGCAGTTTTGGTAGTGTTCCAGGTCAGGTCGCACTGGTGGTTTGTAAGGAGTGGGGCAGCTTAATACAAGCTAAAAATAGTTTCAACACAGCTTTGAGTTCAGGTGCTCCTTGCCTCTTGGGTAAACGCTGAGGCAGGTAATTCAGTGCTGTAGTAGAGTACGTGTGAGTTTTCTCGGGAATCGGAGGGGAAGGTGTAGTCAAAAAGAAATCATTAACTACTGAAATTCCTCCTCTTCTTGCAGACAGCATATGAAGACTGGTTCATCACGCTCTACAACGTCTTGTATTCCAGTCTCCCGGTTCTGCTGGTTGGCTTGCTTGACCAGGTATTCCCCATGTCGTGAACAACAGATGAATCCAAAGGCATCTAACATCAAGTCTTTAATTACACTGAAACTGGTTGCTTTATTTTATGTACGAGACACTTGGGGGCTTTTGTTCTGTTTTTTGGTTTTAAAAAAACGTATTCCTCTTGCCAGTGTGTGAGGTAACAAGAGACAATAAGCAGAACGTTACCGAAATAGCCAAAGTTAATCAGGTCAGAAGTCTTCAGTGTCAAATTTGTTAAAAATATTTCTAGGTGCCTGCTGTTCTGTAACATCATTCCCACATCACAGCTCTGGGTGGCTTTGCTAATGGCAAAGATAGTCCGTGCTTACCCTTGTGAGCTGAAGGTGCAGGGACTGCACCATTTTCAATGACTGTATTTAACAGGAAGCCTTGGTCTTTGTTTTAATTCAGTGGGACAAGTGCTTTTGGCCTTCTCCACTTGTTTTTCCTTTGGTTTTTTACCTGCTGATTAGGCAAATCCATGTTTCTGCTTTCTTTTGTGATAAAAAGTCCCCATCCCCAACTTTGTGTTGAGTCCCCATCCCTGGATGTGTTTAAGAATAGGGTGGATGAACTACTTAGGGATATGGTTTAATGGGGACTAGGGACGGTTGGACTGGATGATCTCTGGTCTTTTCCAACCTCGAAAATCTATGAAATCTATGAAAAGCTAAGAAATAAATTCAGTACCAAATTAAGCTCTCACTTGAGTGTTTGGTAGAGACTTAAAGTCAGGACACGCAATGATACCTCCATCTTCTGCGTATTCACCAAGGACTCCAACACGACACGTAGCTGTGAAGAGATGTGCAGCTGTGGACACTTTTGTCTCTGCAAATAATGGGCTAAAAACGTAGAAGCCTGGAAACAGGGTATGTGATGGCTTTGTGAGAGATGTTCTCCAGGCTTGGTACTTCTGGTTGCAGGTGTTACTCTGAGCAGAGTCCTGCTGCCCACGCTGCTATTAGTAGAGGGAAAGGAATCTGCCATTTCCTTTGGGCTGTTATGTAATTGAACTTCTTCCTCTTCAAAGCTCACACTGAGAACAAGAAATTGCAGCAACTCTTTTTCTTTTTCTCCCTCCCTTTATTAAGGATGTGAGCGACAGATTGAGTCTTCGGTTCCCTGGACTGTATGTTTTGGGCCAGAAAGATTCACTTTTTAACTACAAGAAATTCTTCTTAAGTTTGCTTCATGGAGCTATAACTTCCTTGATCATCTTCTTCATACCATATGGAGCTTACCTTAAAACTATGGGCCAAGATGGAGAAGCTCCTGCAGATTATCAGTCATTCGCTGTCACGGCAGCATCCTCTCTGATATTCGTCGTCAATTTTCAGGCAAGTAGGCTTGGCTTCCTGATCTCTCTTGCTCTGAAAACACTTTCTGGTCATCTTGCTAAATTTGGCTACTAAAAGCCTAACAATATGCAAAAAGCTTCCCCTTTTTGCCTCCTCTCGGTTGATTTTTGCCTCCTCTCTTCTCTGTTGATGCTTGCTCTCTGACTGAGAGGTGACTTGACTCAAATGCTGTCAGTCTTCAGAGCAGTTGACGTTATTTGGAGTTAATAAACTCATTTGGAGCCTTCGTTTGCTTTCAGATTGGCTTGGATACGTCTTACTGGACTTTTGTTAACGCTTTTTCAGTATTTGGCAGTATTGCACTTTACTTTGGTATCACGTTTGACCTACACAGCGCTGGAATCCACGTTCTCTTTCCTTCTGGCTTTCAGTTCACAGGTCAGTCCTTCCGTTTTGTATTTCTTGTTCCTGTCTCACACAGCTTGAACTTGAGCAGAACTGTGGCCAAAATGTCATGGCGTGAACCTGATTCCTGTGAAAGGAAACTGTGTTAAACACTAATTCACTTCCAAGGAGGGGTTTTGTACACACTTGGGGCCAGGTTGCTTTATTGGAGTATTTCTTTTCTTTCGATGAAAACGAGCTGGAACTTGATGAAAACTTGCCCAGCAGTAGGAGTCTGCAAATGAAAACTGAGTTAAAATCGGTGGGGCAGCTCAAAGTAAAGAGGATGTGGTGATCTGGCAGGGTGGGTGTTTGCCAAGTTGCTCCAACTGATCAGTGGAAGGTAAAAGCCCAAAGTGAGACAGAGCCAAATGCTGTTAGCAGCTCCTTGGGATTTTGCTGGTAAGACCAGGGAGGTGTAAGTAGTAGCTGTTAGGAATTTTTTTCCTGAGGAAAAGTGTGCTTCCTGATTTTCCTTATGACAAATCTTTCTTACGTTGCCTTGGATCTAAATATCCACCCACCCAAAATAACAAACACCTTCAATTTAATGTTCTCATTTTTAAGCGGGACTCAATTGAAAAAAAATGAAGTTGCTTTTAATATAATGTTTTTCTTTGACCTTTAGTAATGTTTAACACTTTTTAATAACTTCCTCCTACCTGAATACTTTATGCTTTTCAGAAGTTTATGAAGATGTGACTGGTACTTAGCTTGATAGAGAGTTCCATGAGGTGGAGTGTTTGGCTACCAAACACTGCTTGCTTTCTAGACCACGTACATACCAGTGATACTGGGAGGAGTTTTTCTTGCTTGGCATGTTTTAAAGCAGGACAAAAGCCATGCATCTCAGCCAAGCTTGTCTTGCAGCCTCCCATAACTCTTCAAAGGGCTTTGACATGAATATGGACGTGTCGTCATAGAAGTGCTTTCTAAAATTCTTTCCTATTGTGCTCTGCTATGAAGAGAGTCTCTGTCAAAGTTTGATGTGATACACAACAGAATACCTGAATGTTAGGTCCTCAGGAAAGAAGCTGTGGCTTTTACTATCTTACTTGTGTTTTAGAACTAGTTTACTTGATCCTGTCATAAACTAATTGGTGCTCTTTTGATTCCTAGGAACTGCTCCGAATGCTCTGAGGCAGCCGTACCTCTGGCTGACCATGATTTTATCAATTGCTGTTTGCTTACTTCCTGTAGTGGCACAGCGTTTCTTATCCACGACCATTTGGCCTTCGGAAAGCGACAGAGTGAGTAAAGCCCTACGTTATTTTGGTATAAATTGACTTGCAGGAGTCAGTGCTGGTGCTATTGGGAGAGATAAGTGAGTGAGTGTGCCCTAGGGAGAGCTACATGAGACTGGAGCTCGGGTGGCGTGGCCAGGGAGGGTGGCAGAGGGCTTTCCAAAGGCCAGGCTGCTCCTGCCTGCGAGCTGGGTCGTGACTGGTGCTGCGACGCTGTTCCCCAAAGCAGAGGGTCACGTTGCTGCGTTCTTAGTTCCCAGTATCTTCCTGGTTTTGTTCGCCTCTGTTCCGCCTGGAGCTGGCAGATGGCATGTGGGTATGAAAACAGTTTAAATTGCAGTTTAGTGTTGTTTGAAAAGATGTTAAAGAAGTCTCAGCATGAGAGTACAGGAGCAGCTTTCAGTTACGTATCTGCAGTCCGCTTCAAAGACAGACATTGAAAGGTACGTGAAAAGAACGGAGTTCAAAATAACGCAGTAAGGCTTCCTGAAACAGTGACGTGCTACCGCATAGATCCTGTTTCTAACAAAACCCAGTTTACAAGAGCACCCTCCTTTTAAGGATGTGGAAAAGTATCAGGTTATTTCCTCGGGCAGCAGGTGCACACGAGCTCTTTTCCCTTGTAACCCACCAACCCATCTCTTTGCATGCCTGAAGATCCAGAGGAACCGCAAGAAATACCTGGCAGAGCAGCACCAGTGGCAGCGCCGCCGGAGCGCTTTCCGCCGCGGGGTGTCCGGCCGTCGTTCCGCCTACGCTTTCTCCCACCAGCGGGGATACGCTGATCTCATCGCCTCTGGGCGCAGCATACGGAAAAAACGGGCTCCTCTGGATGCGGTGCTGGGCGCCGGCGTGACGGAAGTCGGAAACGCCCGCGGAACGAGCTGATGTACGGCGCTTGGGGGAGAAGCTTTTATCCCAATGATTGCACAAAAACCCTTTTTTTAAAGACAAACTCAGGATGTTTTTTTAACCAAGCGGCATAAGGATATGAAGATTTTTATGTTTTATCACAGAACTTGCTGGGTTTGGACTACTGGAAACACAGAAAGGCCACGAGTTCTCTACGGAGCTACTAAGCCTTGGGCAGCTGGTTTCTGTTGAATGCAGAAGTGAAGGGCGTGCGTGCGAGGATAGGAAAACCCAGCATCGTAGTGGCCTGGGGTTTTTTTCGTGACGCCTGGAATTGCAGACTTTTTTCACGTTTTAATGACATGTCGGTATAAAACTGCAGCTACATTTCATATTTTGTCGTCGAAAGCCAACCGCCAAGCAGCGGTTACCTGGTGTGCACCATTTCATGACGTTGCAGCCGTCACGGCAAAGCAGATGTTCTCATCCGAGCTTGCGCGGCTGAGATGGAGATCCATCCGGCGATAAATCTTAGCCAGTGTCAGATTTGATGAGGAATTCTGACACTGGTGTGGTTTCTGTTCTTTCTCTTTCCTCAGCAGTTGACTACAGCTCACTGCACGAAATCGAGAGAGCTCTTTGATCCCGTGAGTAGGAATGATATGCCTTTATTCCTTTCATAGCCAGTTCCTGATTTCCTCTGGAATGAAGAGATCTGAGTCCGTTAACAGAGCTTTTTTCTGTTTCTCTGCCTGTCTCTCTCCAACTCTACAACATGTTGGTGTCTGCTTATACAGTATTTTTACGCACAGCTAGATCCCACCTCCGGAAAGCTGCCCTTGGAGCTGGCCAAAGTTTGGTCATTCCAGTTTTAGCTACAGCAGTTAATAATGACTCATTAGAAGGCAGTCACTGCTAGGTGGAACATATTTCGTGTGCTAAGGGAATTCTTACAACGTAAAAAGTGTTTTTATGAGAGTCTCTTTACGTTTGCACATCCTTTGTATGAACTTTTATCTGACTCCTGGACTAAGGTTGATTATTGAAATGGTTTTATAGTAAAAATCCTGATATACAGCTCTTGTTTAATGGAATGTACATTTCAAAAATTTAATGCAAATAAATATCCTGAAGTTCACAGCTTCTCTTCTAATAAGGATATGGATAAAATAGGAGCGTGAGAGGAGTTTAAGTAGGAAATGGAGGTAATTAATCTCTCACTGAGACAGATTAGGGTTGGTCTTTAAAAAAAAAGAGAAAGAAAAATCAGACCTCACCATGCGCTGGACTCTAAACCCAGGTGTGGTATTAAAATATTAAATATGCAAATTGAGGTGAGTCTATTCCTTTTATTTCTAGTGAGACTTAAAGACAAACATTTGTCATGGATAATGATTGCTTGGCTTCAGCTGGTCCCGGAGAGCAAAGGTGCTCTGGCTCGCGCTGGGGCTGCTTTGTCATCCAGTTCTGTTACTGGGACAAAACGACAGCGCGTCCAGTACAGAACCGTGAGCCCCAGCTGCACTGCCATCCGCGCTTCCCCGCGCCTCCAACGGCAGAAGGGGGAGGGAGGATGCTCCGTTTCCCGGTGAAGCCTTTCTGCCGCTCTCGCTACG